GTTATTTCATCTCTTTCGTATGCACAAACGTCTCTCAGGCTTTTTTCAGAAATGACTCATCAAATATATAGTCCTGACAGTGAGTCCTGACAGTGAGTCCTGACAGTGACAGTGAGTCCTGACAGTGAGTCCTGAGTCCTGACAGTGAGTCCTGACAGTGACACCAGTGTATAGTCTCAGTTTTTGGTACAGGGCTCTTTAATATACAATGTGTATTCGGGTACTATCATTATTGTCATTACCACTGCCACTACATGTGTGATCAAGCACAGAATAACAACCTAGCTACTAACAAACAAAGCATCAAAGCTCCCTGCTCTCTGGGAAGACGCATTGTCGAAGAGATATAAATTAGTCGCTGATATGTATTACCTATGCGATGTGAGCCATAGAAAGTGAGTTAAAGCCAAGGAAGGATACGATTAACATGTTGTCTACATTTATAATTGGTGCTTATACTTACATGTTATTGGTTAGATAGAAAATGTATTATACAATTATGGCATCATCATCATCATCATTCATCATCATCATCATCACCATCATCAATCATCATCATCATCATCATCATCAATAATAATACATTTACTCCTTCATAATTATGCAAACGTTTTGAATGATATTGTAAAGCAAACCATGGTAAAAAAAAATCAACACCAAATAAGTGATGGCTGTCCGACCGAAAATAGCTGTAAATTTCAAAATATATATCTAAACTTAAAAATGAGATAAATATGTTTTATTTTGACTGTAACTCAACGATTACCAGCCAGATGTAACAATCATCTAACACTTAATTAAACGTTTGCTGTCGATGAGATATATATACTCCATAAGTTAAATGCTAGTTTCATAAAAAATAATAATAACTGGAACCTATTTGAGATTCTCTATATTTATCTCGTTTAGCAAATCCGTATACATCACTCAATCAATTAAGTTTTCCAAATTTGAATATTACATCACAGGTTCAGGATGCTCTTCAACTCTATCAGCAGAGCATGCCTGTCAATTTTACACTTATGTGCTGTTTACTTGAACACTTGTTCTCAATTCGATAAGAATGAAAGTAGTAAAATAAATGCAAATGTAATGTTTAACCTACTGTATGTTAATAGCATCGTCGACGATATAACCCTCATACCTTGTAGCGGGAACGTGTGCACATATCCTAACAACACGATAATAATAGAAAGGCTACTGACACCGTCTTTGTTCAGCGCAGAAACACATGTCTATGCGGTGTATTTCTACTGCTGAGACGAAAAACTGTTCCCAGAAGAAAACACGTCAGTACTAAAGCAAAGCTGTCGAAAAATGCGTTAGTACTAACTAAAGTAAGCTGTCGAAAAACACGTTAATAGTTACGGACAGGTGTCGAAAATGACGTTAGAATGTGAGTAAAGCTGCTGCAAAAAGCGCCGTATTATTCATAGTAGCAAACACGCATGTCAACATACTGTGTTCCTACTATGAAGACCAGAGGAATGCTGCCGTGGAATGTGTCCTCATTGCCGTCATCCTCGGTGTCTAAGTGGATGTATTCCTCGGTAACCGTCATGTCCGCGACCTCCTGACAGTCACCTACAAAGCGGAACAGGTAGAAAGGCGTGGTCGCTGGCAGCTGTATGGGGACGCGGGATAATCCGTCGTTCCTATTTGTAACAAAGCAAATTCTTAAATTAATTAAGTGTGTTCTTATTAATGTATAAGCAATCATCGTACATAGTTCTGTAATATTTTATATCAATCTCAAAGAACCATTTGTAATTACCTAACATATTAGAGCTGTAATTTAAGGAGAGTGGAAAACATTTGATAATATTTACAGCCAATGCTGTATTTTTAATTAAAGATTGTAAAGCCATCGCAGTTTACACAAAAAAAAAACGTTTCGATTTCTCTTCAGTTTTGTATATAAAATTCAGAATAATCCTTCGTTCGCAAAGCTGAGAAACTGAGAAACGAGTTACTACCTGCAGCAGAAGGTCATGTTGATATTTAGATCGCTTACGTCGTCTTCTTCATCAAGATATATGTATCCAGACTGAAACCCTTGAGGTAAACGTGAAAATATACGGTTAATATATCCAAAATAAAATAACGATGTTTAATTATATATATTTCTGGTAAAATCCTCAAACGTAAATTACTTGTTCATGCAATTTCAGAAACGTTCCTGTATAGAATTATGCAAAGCTCCGTGGTTAAATTCAATTATTATTGCTTTCCGTTATAATGTTAATATCGTTCAATTAAAGATATATAGGTACAAAAATAATTATTAGAGAACTTTCCCTGTTATCATTTTGATTTTTCTGCTAGGCTGAATATGTAGATAATATGTAATCACTTTTGGAAATGATAATACTACCTGAGGAACATTCTGCCGCGAAAATGCAGTAATCACCAGCTGGCCAGTCGTAGGTTCCGAACTCGGACATTTTATCGCATGAAAGCAACTGCACGATGTTGTTTGTGGCGTTGTCCTCGCGGTTTTCTGTTAATATTAAACATGTGTTTCAGTTTATTTTAAGGGTTTAGTAAATTCATCGAACGCAATTTTAAGGTCATTTAGTATGAAAGTTACATGTATCTTAGTATCTCTATGAGAATAACCAATGTATTAAAATCAGCATTGTAGTTCCACGGTATAACACTTACTCGATTATTTTTCAAGATGGTCACCAAGAGTTTACTCTCAAATACCAGCTCTCATCAAATCAAACAGACATATAACCATCCTGGATTGGATGATTTTACGTTTTCTCATCCAGAAGAGGAGCGCGACAAAGCTGTATGTGAAGTATCTGTCATCGCATCTCCTACTCCTACATTTCAATTAGGGACACTTAAGGATGTACTCCTCTGAGGTTTCAGTCACGTTCAAGTCTCGTTTTGATCTGGTGTAATGGGGTTTTGTAATATTTAACAAATTATGATCAAGTTTATTAGCAAACACGCATCTGAAAAATATGTCAAAAAACTAGATGCCTGTTGTTTGTAGAACTTTTTTTACAAGAATTTAAAAAAATACCCATTCGGTGGCCATTTTGAAATTGTGTATTAATGTGCATTTCTTGCACCTCAAAAAAGGCCAAAATTTCACCTTTTTTTGACACAAGATTGATTACTTAAATTGTCATTGTGTTGCCATTTTTAATTGTAGCAGGTTCAATTTTGCTATACAACTTTATAATGTTCAATATGATAAAAATTATGCAACAAACTGGAAACTTATACATTATTGATAATTTTTTTTTACATATTTACTGTAACTGAAGCACTTTTGATTTTTGACCCCGAAAAAGGTAAAAAAATAACACAAATGATAATGGGACAAAAAAAGAAGCACACTGACCCCCCATTTTTGTAGATGTTTTAGAAAGAGAAACACATTTTCATTTCATTCATTAAATATTAAAAAAAGTTTAATACAAGAACTTTTTAAATCAAGCGTTTAATCTGCATAAAATGGTAAAAAATGAGTATTTTTTCATTAAAAAATAGGGGGTAGGGGTAACTAAAATCGTCTTTCTGAGTTAAAAGAATAAGATTAAGAAATTTTACTTCCATAATTTAAAAGAAAATAATATTTTCATCAATTCTACAAACATTCATACATTTCTGATAACACACTTGGAAGAAATTGTATGAATTTGTTCTGCAAATGGTCAAAACCCCAAAAATCACCTAAAAACACATGTTGTGTTAAATTGGTATCTTTGACCGATCATAGCACAAAAATGAACACACGGACATATAGTTTTTTTTTGCTTTTTCTACTATGCCATTAAGTCCTTTTTCCAAAAATCCATATAAGAAAAAAAGTTTAATACAGGAAATTTTTGACTTCTCAGAGGTGTACATCCTTAATACTAGCTAACCAATGAATTACCACAAAATTGAATAGAATATAAGACTCGTTCATGCCAGGGATGAAGGATAGGGAAAATTCGAGGGTGGAATTTCCCTATGCTTAACCCTTGGGCATGAAAGAGTATTTTTCTCTCATTTCAACCACCAGAATAAGCTCAGAAACCATAAAAATGCGTTTGGACTGGCCATTATTTTGAAAATATCAATCCCCCCCTTAATCATTTTAGACGGAAACGAATCAAGCATATCCCATATTTTGCTTAGAAAAATTAATCACATCTTTTTAACGTGTACGGTAAATAATCGTAAAAGGTTTTAATTTCAACACGTCGCCTTTTCCGCATTGCTGCATCTGAGAGTTCCAAATTCGTGAGGTCACGTCATTGTTCAGCTATTGTCACGTCACGTGAAATGGGTGTAAGATAGAAATTCCCTACAACCCTTTCTTACCCTGGACAGCTCTATCTTACACACAGGCATATGAGAGAAAAGGACATCTAATGCATGGATCGCAAAGTAATCTCTACCGACACATATACATATTCAAGTTCAAAACAGACTGAAGGTCTTGCTGGAGTGAATAACAAGGACATAAAGACACAGTCATTCAAATTTACTTTGACCTCCTGACGTCACACATCATATTATCAAACAGGAAATATCAAGTGTTTATAGCTATCACCAGTATAATTGACTGTTCTGCTACCCTAATACATTCAACAGATTCATAAGGAATATGCGATGGGAGTATTACTTACAGTTCCAGAGAGTGGTAATGCTACTTACAGTTCCAGAGAGTGGTAATGTTCCAGATAGGAGTATTGCTTACAGTTCCAGAGAGTGGCAATGTTACTTACAGTTCCGGAGAGTGGTAATGCTACTTACAGTTCCAGAGAGTGGGAATGTTACTTACTGTTCCAGAGAGTGGTAATATTACTTACAGTTCCAGAGAGTGGTAATGTTCCCGATAGGAGTATTACTTACAGTTCCAGAGAGTGGTAATGTTACTAACAGTTCCAGAGAGTGGTAATGCTACTTACAGTTCCAGAGAGTGGGAATGTTTCTTACAGTTCCAGAGAGTGGTAATGTTCCCGATAGGAGTATTACTTACAGTTCCAGAGAGTGGGAATGTTTCTTACAGTTCCAGAGAGTGGTAATGTTACTTACAGTTCCAGAGAGTGGCAATGTTAGTTACAGTTCCAGAGAGTGGTAATGTTCCCGATGGGAGTATTACTTACAGTCCCAGAGAGTGGTAATATAACTTATAGTTCCAGAGAGTGGTAATGCTACTTACAGTTCCAGAGAGTGGTAATGTTACTTACAGTTCCAGAGAGTGGTAATGTTACCGATGGGAATTTTACTTACAGTTCCAGAGAGTGGGAATGTTACTTACTGTTCCAGAGAGTGGTAATATTACTTACAGTTCCAGAGAGTGGTAATGTTACTTACAGTTACAGAGAGTGGTAATGTTACTTACAGTTCCGAGAGTGGTATTGTACTTACAGTTCCAGAGAGTGGCAATGTTACTTACAGTTCCAGAGAGTGGTAATGTTACTTACAGTTCCAGAGAGTGGTAATGTTACTTACAGTTCCAGAGAGTGGTAATGTTACTTACAGTTCCAGAGAGTGGTAATGTTACTTACAGTTCCAGAGAGTGGTAATGTTACTTACAGTTCCAGAGAGTGGTAATGTTACTTACAGTTCCAGAGAGTGGTAATGTTACTTACAGTTCCAGAGAGTGGTAATGTTACTTACAGTTCCAGAGAGTGGTAATGTTACTTACAGTTCCAGAGAGTGGTAATGTTACTTACAGTTACAGAGAGTGGTAATGTTACTTACAGTTCCGAGAGTGGTAATGATATTGTACTTACAGTTCCAGAGAGTGGCAATGTTACTTACAGTTCCAGAGAGTGGTAATGTACTTACAGTTCCAGAGAGTGGTAATGTTACTTACAGTTCCAGAGAGTGGTAATGTTACTTACAGTTCCAGAGAGTGGTAATGTTACTTACAGTTCCAGAGAGTGGTAATGTTACTTACAGTTCCAGAGAGTGGTAATGTTACTTACAGTTCCAGAGAGTGGTAATGTTACTTACAGTTCCAGAGAGTGGTAATGTTACTTACAGTTACAGAGAGTGGTAATGTTACTTACAGTTCCAGAGAGTGGTAATGTTACTTACAGTTCCAGAGAGTGGTAATGTTACTTACAGTTCCAGAGAGTGGTAATGTTACTTACAGTTCCAGAGAGTGGTAATGTTACTTACAGTTCCAGAGAGTGGTAATGTTACTTACAGTTCCAGAGAGTGTTAATGTTCCCGATGGGAATGTTACTTACAGTTCCAGAGAGTGGTAATGTTACTTACAGTTCCAGAGAGTGGTAATGTTACTTACAGTTCCAGAGAGTGGTAATGTTACTTACAGTTCCAGAGAGTGGTAATGTTACTTACAGTTCCAGAGAGTGGTAATGTTACTTACAGTTCCAGAGAGTGGTAATGTTACTTACAGTTCCAGAGAGTGGTAATGTTACTTACAGTTCCAGAGAGTGGTAATGTTACTTACAGTTCCAGAGAGTGGTAATGTTACTTACAGTTCCAGAGAGTGGTAATGTTACTTACAGTTCCAGAGAGTGGTAATGTTACTTACAGTTCCAGAGAGTGGTAATGTTACTTACAGTTCCAGAGAGTGGTAATGTTACTTACAGTTCCAGAGAGTGGTAATGTTACTTACAGTTCCAGAGAGTGGTAATGTTACTTACAGTTCCAGAGAGTGTTAATGTTCCCGATGGGAATGTTTCTTACAGTTCCAGATAGTGGTAATGTTACTTACAGTTCCAGAGAGTGGTAATGCTACTGACAGTTCCAGAGAGTGGTAATGTTACTTACAGTTCCAGAGAGTGGGAATGTTACTTACAGTTACAAAGAGTGGTAATATTACTTACAGTTCCAGAGAGTGGTAATGTGACTTACAGTTCCAGAGAGTGGTAATGTTCCCGATGGGAATGTTACTTACATTTGCAAAAAGTGGCAATGTTATTTACAGTTCCAGAGAGTGTTAATGTTACTTACAGTTCCAGAGAGTTGTAATGTTCCCGATGGGAATGTTACTTACAGTTGCAAAAAGTGGAAATGTTATTTACAGTTCCAGAGAGTGGTAATGTTACTTACAGTTCCAGGGAGTGGTAATGTTCCCGATGGGAATGTTACTTACAGTTCCAGAGAGTGGTAATGTTATTTACAGTTCCAGAGAGTGTTAATGTTCCCGATGGGAATGTTACTTACAGTTGCAAAAAGTGGCAATGTTATTTACAGTTCCAGAGAGTGGTAATACTACTTACAGTTCCAGAGAGTGGTAATGTGACTTACAGTTCCAGAGAGTGGGAATGTTACTTACAGTTGCAAAAAGTGGAAATGTTATTTACAGTTCCAGAGAGTGGTAATGCTACCGATGGGAATGTTACTTACAGTTCCAGAGATTGGTAATGTTACTTACAGTTCCAAGAGGGGTAATGATATTGTACTTACAGTTCCAAAGAGTGGTAATATAACTTATAGTTCCAGAGAGTGGTATTGCTACTTACAGTTCCAGAGAGTGGCACTGTTACTTACAGTTCCAGAGAGTTGTAA